ACTGTTGGCCAACTAAGTGTCAAATGTACATCCGTTTTTTGATTAATATGTATGTAGAATATAACTCAAACTAACACTTACACCAACCAATAACTTAATTTTTCATTTTTTGTCATATTTTAGCTTTCACATGTTTTACAAATTGAYCTTCAACTTGTAAAGGTAAACAATAAAAGTCAATGAAAATAACTTATTTGATAATGATGTTACTCAATCGTTTTTATTCTTTTTAACATTTGTACCATGCCAGTCCAATAATTATGAAAATCTTTAATTTTACCATATCTTTGTTTGTTCTTTTTTTCAGAATGCTGTATCTGTCTATTGTCGATTGGGTTTTGCACACAGAAAAAATGGTGACCTAGATGATGCTAAAATCCACTCATCTTGGAGTGAAAAAATACAAAATAGTCTTGCAAACAAAAGGTGAAGATCTAATCAATTCATTTTTTGACATTTACAGCTTGGCATCTTTGCAGTATCAGCAGACAAATAGCTGAAATTAAGTCATTTCCATAAAGTATACTGAGCAAAGTTATTATCGATTTCTAGTTAAGATTTTATCAATAACTTGGTTTTGCATGTTTGCACCTACTTGAATTGTATAACTTTGAATYATTGAGTAAACAACAAGCACAACTTCACATGCTGGCTTGACTTGTTCAGTTCAAGAGATTGTCAAAAAAGTGATATAATGTCATGTCTATCATTATGAATAATACTAATATATACAAATTTTACTTTGGTGTACAGGTATGGAAGCAAAGACAACCTTTTGAATTTAGATTTCAATAATTTAGAAGAGAATGGTGTCAATGAGACGACATCATCTAGTGCAGATACTCTAGAAATGGAGAGTTTGTCATCCATAACATCAACAACATCAGGTATGAGACAACTATACATTGAATCTTCTGTTGCGTATTTATCTCGTAACCCTGAGCCTTGAGGATGATAGTTGTAAGGGTCATTTTTCRCTATTGAAGTAAGGGAAGATGAAGACTGAAACATTGAAAGAAGCAGAATGGAAGGAATTTCACACTGACTTTTCATTGACTTTTTAAGKCCCGTTTACTTACTAGCACTTGTGATTTTTTGCAGCGCGATAATCGCCACTTTGCTTCGTAACTAAAATCGTACGTGTAAACACCCCTGCGATTGTTGCGGCGATGGAAAATCGCCGCAAAGTTGCAGCCAATTTTCAAGCATGTTCGAAACTCAGGCTATGGTCGCGCGACGATCTTCGCCATAATCGCTYTGCAAAAAACGGGCCTTTACGGTGTTATAATTTATTCTTTTTGCAAAACTGYTTCTTTAGAAACACCGACACAGCTCCTACCAGTTTACCGCTAGTAAAMGCACTCTATTAATCTTTATTAATATTAATCATTTTATTTTGACAGTGGAGGGAGGTCCAGGAAAAAGAATAGCATTCTTATTTGATTCAACACTTACAGCATTTTTAATGATGGGAAATCTATCACCGGTAGGTATAACATATCTTTTTTCCTGGATGTTGTAAAATAGTTGTAAATACCTATCTGATATCAATGATTATATCATTTCTAGGGTTTGAAAAACCATGCTGTGACAATGTTTGAAGTTGGAAAACTTGCAGATGAGTCTCTGGATAGCTTTTTGTCTGAACTAGAGAAGGTATTGCATAAAGATTGCTCTTTCTTTCATGTAAATATTCTKCCCATTAATATCAGTAGTAACAGTTGCTACACACAAAAAAAACAGCAAGAACAGTACCAAGAAGTTCATTAGATTTTTAAGGATCACAACCGAAAACAAAACAAACAAACAAAAAATAACAACATCGGCGCTCGTTTCTGCGAAGTAGTTTCGCAAGAAAATTCTTTTTACTCTTGGCAAGAAATACTGAAAAACAAATGCCGCGTCACACTAGAGGGATTTTTTTTGGTGCAATTTGGAATGATTATTGACATTTTTCTCAACAAAAATTGTTGCTAGTTGCGCACGAAAAAAAAACGCTAGTGTGACGCGGCCTCAAGGTTTTCACTTTGCTGTGCATTCGGRACTACTCTAGTCCTCTAAATTATGCTATATAAAGAATAATGTTTTTATTTTTAATATTTTTTAAGGTTGACAGCATTGCAGAAGGTGAAGCTCAGCGATACTTTGACCATGCACTCACATTACGGAATGCAATCTTATTTTTACGATATAACAAATCCCTTGGTGCTGATAAAAGTGTTGTTCCTCCAATGGGATTAGGTAAGTTGTTTTTATTWAACATGTGTCATTTGTTAGTCTGGTGTTTTTCGACTACCGATACTCTCYTTCAAAGAAATAATAGTGGATACAGATCTCGCAACAACTTTGTTGAAACAGTAACATGAGGTTTGCGTTTTGATTTATTTAACATTTTGGATTTCTTTTGTTATAGATCTTCTTCGATGTGAAAGTTTAAATGGTTTAGACCCAGCGGCCTGCAGTCGAGTCCTTCAGAAAAACTATAGGTGAGCAACATTYTTTGTCGTTGAAGGTCGTCACTAATTATAAATAGTTTTATTGATGTTCGTTTTCTAAAAATAAGATAGAAAGTGGTTAAAAACAGGAGAAAATAACTTATGGTTATTTGTTTTATTTTTATAAACTCTTATACCGAAAATTTAACTCATGGAAAATGTTTTTATTCCTTTTGTGTTTGTGAGTGCTTGGGTCATTTTACAAGACATGACGAGTTTGCTWCAAAATTAGCTTAAGTGACATCAAATTGGAAATAAACGGCAGTGTGGATTGTTGTTTGGGGTTTTTAAGAAGTTTTACAGAGCTACAGTTGCTCAAGCTACACACACACCTGTCAGAGGGTAATATAAAGTAAATAACAATGTTTTTTTATTCTAGTTTACTTGTTTCAATGGCACCATTAAGTCATGAAATTCGACCAGTAACAAGTTGCGTCCCACCACATCTTGGTCCAGCGATCCCWGAAGTGAATTCAGTATGGTTTAAACTATTCATATATAGTCTAGTAGGAACTGGTCCGCCATCRCTGCTTCTYGTCAAGGGTACTAGATTAAGATGGCTACCTTCAATCTTTGAGGTGAGTTTGTTACTTTAGATACTCAACAGCTGGTAAAAACACGCATTCTTAGAAACTGTCGGTCGATTGTTTGAAAGTCCTCGAGTGGTTACGGACCAAGGTGTTTTCGTGTTTCGTCTTGGTGTTTCGTTTCATTTACGAAAAATTGCTTTTTGTACAAGAAGTGAAATTAAAACAATGAAAGGAACGTTTGGTGGAAGAAATACCTTTTTATTTGTATATCTTCACATGTAAAAGTCAATTATATGTTATCGTGGCGCCTAGTTTTTGTATTAAGCCTTTATACAAAAGCGCGGGAAAACTGAAATCAAAACTTGACGCGTASGTACGCGGCGYGTGCCRGACATTTCATATMTGTTTATACAGTTTCTCTTTTTATGTAAATATTATTTCAAAATATTGATTGAAAACTCAATTATTTATTTTGTTAGGACTACGAGAGTCTGTTGATTACTACTTGGGGCCATGATCCTGGTATTGTACCTGTCTCTAATGTCCTTCTGGCATTGAATGATGCTCTGTCTCACTCGGCTGTCCTTGTTCAGGTAAACTATADAGTTGGTGCTGAAATATCTCCAGTTACGTTAATTTCCTGCAGAAAATGTCGGACAATTCTTGACTAAAT